CGAACTGATGCGTTACCACAAGCCCGCGACAAGACCAAAAAGAAACACCCAAATCCAATAAGCGTAGAGGCGAACGCAGGATCTAGCGGTGGACGGGAGCTGAGGGTAGAACTCGATCGATTGTTGTCGAGTGAGGAATATGTCAACAGGTCGTCACCCAAAATTATGGACGTCAGTCGGGGGGGAGGGCGATGACGATGTTGTTCGACTTGGGAGGTCGAATGTCAGGATTCAGAGGATAAAAAGATGCTCGAGTGGACGAAAGGCCGGAGAAATAGGGACTGGATCGCGGACGGTCTCATTAAGGGTCAAGTCATAGGCCAATGTTGGGGGGAGATTGGGAGGTGCAGGCCAAAATCCAGATGTAGCGTGGGAGCGGCGAGGGCTTTGGCTGTCCAAGACACGATGGGGGCATCTGGCACTGGCTGGGAAGGCAGACAGACGGGAGCAGGCAGGGCAGGGCAGGTACCTCGGGAGCCACCACGTTCTGGGCTGGCACAAGTACCCTCCACTGGGTCAGCACAGAGCGAATTGGGGGCAAGATCACCTACAGGATTGCCAAGACCCACGACGACCACGGAGGGTCAGTAAATTGGTGGATCGGCGGGGTGTGACGCCATAGGCTCCGCAGCACAGTGAGCCTGTACAGTGAGAGCACGCAGCAGGTACGTACTCGCGGGTAGGTACCTGTAGGAGGCTGCGACCGCCCACCACGCGCTGTTCTCACTGCGCTGCGGCTGGGGGTACCTGCCACACGCACATCGCAATACCTCCCTGGTGGTTGCAGCGGCTTTTCACCGGTCCTCTGCTAATCATTGCCCTCTCTTCTATTCTCGGCCAGACACAGGCGGCACCCACGAGGGATGCTCTGTTCTCGCCATCATCCTCATATTCGACCTGCTCTATACCCTCAGGTGTTCCGTGCGCAGACTCGCACCCCACAGGGTCCCCCCCTTTCAGACCACCCTGAGCTGCCAATAGTTCAGCGCCTGTTCGAATCGTGACCTCGGACAACTAGCCATCAAAACGGTCAGTTCGCCGACCCCAGGCTTCCTCTCCCAAGGTCTATGGCCATTTATGAGCTGCTGCTATTGTCATTGATGCCTACGACTGAGGCATCAACGTCTACGAGAGGGACATTCTTTCTAGTTGACTCCATGGCAGAAACTGCACGGCCGTGCGTGGTTGAGCATCGGCGTACCTTCCCTAATAGTGCCCGACGCTGGCTCGCTGATCAAACGACGGACTGCCTCGCTGTCTGACCCTCGCTCTCAAGCACCAGATTGGTTGGAATGGACAAAATAGTGATTGACGCTTGGCGTGTATGGTGTGGATAGACAAGTACCTTAGCCGCCTGGCGCTCTCCTAGTGCGACAGACGACCGGCAGCGCACGCCACCAGCACTGGCAGACCCGTCCCTCTGGCACTTTCCAGGCGTCTGGTCTGGCATCCTCATGGCGGCATGCTGCGGTGAAGACAAGATAGACTGCTGAGACAGGCACGGGACTTGGCCGTCGATACCTACGAACCGCCCCCGCCAGCTGAAGACTCCCTAGCACTGTCCACCTGCCTAAAGACACGCAGGCATCCGTGGAATCGGACCCTGGGACGCTCCAGCACCACGACTGGTTGGTCCCAGCCAGGTTCAGAGATATCGACGACGGCCTTGTGAGGGCCCTGCACCAGCAGAAACGTGGTGGGGAGTTGCTACCAGCAGCTCGTTGCCCTTTTCGACCGGCCTTTTGCCCCATCAGAGCTTGGCAATGACGGCAGACAGCAGTTTTTTGCGACTTTTTCCTCTTCCCCCCTCCGACTCTGCGATTGTGTGTCTCCCACCCCCTTGCTCTTTGGCCTGACCCTCCAGGCCCTTCATCGGACATGCGACGAGAATGGTAGGAACCAGGAGTCTGTAATGTATGCCCAGGTGGGTGTAGCTCCCGGGTTTGCGCCCTTTACATCCGTAGTGCCCCCCCACAGCCCACGATGCTGAACCCCTACTTTTTCTGCCATGGGGCCTGAGAAATCGCATTGCTTTACAGAGATTACCATGGCAGATCCTCTTTTAGATACATACCGCATCTTCTCGCTGGGCATTTGCGGGTACTCACGATGCGGCACATGACACTCTCACGTTAGGCTGCGCTGGCAGACAGGAAAGAGGGAATTTCCCATGCTCCCGGCAAATGACTATTTGCCAATAGGCCAATTGGATTCTAATGAAGGTTTTTGGTGAGACATGCCGCCATCTTGGACAAGAATCTCCGGCCACACCAGACCGTGTAGGACGGTGCAGGCCTGTGCCGACGCGGCTTGGCTCTGAGTGCCAGTCGGGGCAAGCAGATGGATACGTGCAGCAGGAAAATTACTCAAGGGATTAGCCGTCATGACGATGCCGCTTGGCGACTGCGCTACTCCTCAACCGTCCAAAAGAAGCGAAATTGTTCCCAGACCAGTCACTCTGTTCTATTGGGCTTCCACGACATGCCTCCCCACTCGAAAAGGGCACACGGACGTCCCTGCTGGACCCCAGGTGAGGTCGCCTTTCCAGCTCCCATCGAGAACCCCTGCATCCAAACCGCCCCATCGGCCGCCTCCTCATGTACCGCTGGGTGCTTGTTGCACTGGCTGATGTCATGAGCCAGGTGATCGGCAGTTGGGTGAGCGAAAGGAATACGGTCACCGTGTTGCACGGTGCAGGCGGCCACTGAGCGCTTACACACCGTCTTATACCTTGCCACCCTTGCCCGGCGCCTCCCAGGCATTACACGCCTCTCCCGTCCCGATACGTCTTTCGCAATCAACCAGACGCTGTGGGTGTGCATGCTTGGAGATCGGGAGAGGTGGGCGCATGGCTGTTCGCAAACACCCGCTCAGCCTCGACTGCGGAGGTAAAAAGGCTTATTTCGTGTTCCCCTCCCAGTCGGCTGGCATCACGGTCATGGTTGCCACTGCCCAGCGAGGCTGATCCCAGAGGTGGAATCACCTGGGGATAGGAGGATCTCGTCGCAAAACAACCAACCCCACTAGGCTCCCTTCTGAGGATGGAATTGATCATCTATGACACCCATAGTGAAAAGTAAGGCAGTCATGAGCAACTTCGCCGACGATAATCCTTTACCAGGCTAAACCTGTGAAAGCATGAGTTTTCGTTGGACGAGGAGAACACGAGATCAACACCTCCCTACATACTCACATGGCACTCGACTGGTGTTCCTTGCGCCTTCTTTGCCTTCTAGAGGGGCGGGCAATGGGCAATTGGAAATCTTCGGAAATTCGCCGCCGAAGCATTAGCGGAGCTTGAGCTGGTGTGCGTCGCTCCCTTCCCTTTGTCTCTCCTCGCCGTCCCTCCGGCTGGTGTCTCCTCCGGAGTCCATGGGGTACATGGCAGAGATACAGATCCACCATCAGGAAAACCCCGTTTTCTTGTCTCTCATCTTTCCCAACTAACAATGATGTCTTCCTGCCAGGGTGCGGCTGATGATGGCGTTGGAATCAGCGATTCACGTCAGTGCGTGGACAGTGTCCGCAACTTCATGACTGAGCCGTGCACCGAATGGCGGTGATGACTTCGAGTATCGAAACAAAAAATGCCTCTTGCCAGCCGGTTGATCATGATCTTCATGACATGGTGCCTCTGGCCCAATCCGCTTCTTCTGATCTGCTCTCTACGCCAGAAACGACCGGTGGTGAGGCCCTTGCAAGCCCCGAAGGGCCAGCGATCTTTACTTCCTGCTACCCACCATGTTGCGCCGATCACAACTTGCAGGCTTGCCAGATTGCATAACTCACCTTTCCACTCAAGGAAGCGCTGGCGTCTCTCGGGTTTCTTCCCTTGTCCAAGTAGGTAAGAATAGCACAGATGCCATCCTTCATGACATTCGGTGAGAGAGTAACCGACCACATGGCTGCGCATGTGACTTGGAGGGTCACGCCTAGGCACAGGTATTTCCCAACTTGTACTGATGTCTCTGCCCCTCAAGAGTGAATGTTCCCCCGGAAACGTGTTTCGATCCTGACGTACGTCCGTTGGGTAGGTATTCGTCAAGACTCTTAGTGTCATTACAGGTCATTTTCTATCTCCCTTGTCTGGCTGGAGAAGAAGTCCGCTGAGCTCGTGCCACACCAAAATTCCGAATTGCGGATCAAGAGAGGGGGATTATGCACATCACTGATGTCGCATTTCACCTCCTCTTGATACCGTCAAGAACCGACATTCCCATCATGTGGGACGGCATTCTCCATGGCTTGGAAACGAGAATACGCATTGGCTACATTTCAGGAGGTCTCACTAGCCAAGACGTGGCGTCGCTGGATACATGAGTGACACGAAATGTTAATCTTTATAGGGATACGTACTACAACAATTCGCATGCTGCGCATCTTGGCTCCTGGCCTGCTTGCATATGTTGGGCCTAATCGAACCAGGCCTTCATGTGGCACTGCTCTGGGGATGGGCTGCCCAAGCCTTTATCATGATACCACCCTTGGTATACTGATAAGGACGTGATATCTGCTGCTATAGTGGACTACGTGCCGTGCCACCTTGAGACCAACGTTATCTGCAACTTAGGTTCCACAACCGGCATATGGTTCGGGAGGGACAGTATTGCTTGTGATTTGGCCTGCTATTTATGGCTTTTTGGTTGATGTATTGTGCAGTGAGACGCATGAACAGTGAAACCAATACTCCTTCCCCAGGTTACCGGTGCTCGAGAGATGCTACCCGCATTGTGTATAGAAGCAGTCCCGGAACCATTGAGACCCGGACAGTGGTCCATTACTTGATGCCCCTCTACGCTCAACGCTCAACGCCGCTGCGCCCTGTTGTTTAAGCACACTGACACTTTCTTCAGCTCACTGGACGTCGGTGGTATTCTGATATCTTGGGGACAAAACTGAAACTTTTCCATTGGAGGACTTTGCCTCCTTGTAATACCAAAACCAGATTGCTATCTCTATGCTATCAAAATACCAAAACAAACCGTTCCCGTCAATTTATGCTACGTATCCTCTGACTGGTGAGCTTCCGACAACCCCTCAAACTGCTTCTGCCACAGACTGTGATACCTCCCCCGCTTCTCCAACAGCTCACGGTGCGTGCCCCTCTCGACGACGGTCCCCTCGTGCATGACGAGGATCTGGTCGGCGGCGACGATGGTTGACAGCCGGTGGGCGACGACGAACATGGTGCGGCGCTCGCTCAGCTCCCTCAGCGCGCCCTGGATGAGGGCCTCGGTCTCGGTGTCGACGGCGCTGGTGGCCTCGTCAAGGATGAGGATGGGCGGGCCCTTGAGGAAGGCGCGGGCGATGGCGACGCGCTGGACCTCCCCTCCCGACAGCTTGACGCCGTTCTCGCCGACGGGGGTGCGGTAGCCCTTGGTGAAGGTGAGGATCTTGTCGTGGATGGATGCGGCGCGGCAGGCGGCGTGGACCTCCTCGTCGGTGGCGGAGAGGCGGGCGTACCGGATGTTCTCCATGATGGAGGCGTTGAAGAGCAAGGGGTCCTGGGGCACGACGCCGATGGTGTCGCGGAGGGAGCCCTGGGTGACGTCGCGGATGTCGCGGCCGTCGATCTTGATGCTGCCGGAGGTGACGTCGTAGTAGCGCAGGAGGAGCTTGGCGAGGGAGGACTTGCCTGCGCCCGTGGCGCCGACGAAGGCGATGGTCTGGCCGGGCTTGGCGTCGATGTTGACGTCGTGGAGGACGGGTCGCTTGGTATCGTAGCTAAAGCCGACGTTGTCGAAGGTGACGTGGCCGGCAACTTTACCCAGCTCGGTAGCGCCCGGCCTGTCGACGACGGTGGGTTCCGTGCTGAGCAGGTCGAGGAGGCGCTCGGCGTCGACGAGATTGGACATCATGGAGCGGTACTCGTGGGCGAGCCACTTGATGGGCCAGATGAGGTAGTCCCAGTACTGCATGAGGAAGACGAAATCGCCGGGAGTGGCGCGCCCGCGGGCGATCTGGCGGATGACGACGACGGACAGGATGAAGAAAGTGACGGGCACCAGGGCCTGGACCATGCCGGAGATGTAGGCGTCGGTGACCCCCCAGCGCCAGTCGGCCGACAGGTGGCTGTCCACGGCGGCTCCGAAGCGGAACCTCTCGTAGCTGAACATGTTGAAGGCCGAGACGGTCTGCCACCCCTGGACGGCCTGGTGCTGGATGCGGGCCTCCTCGCGCTTCGACTTTGTGAGCGTCCGGCGGTTCTTGACGTTCCAGGTGAAAGTGACGACCTCGAGGGCGATGAAGCAGTAGAAGGCGGAGATCATGCAGAGCATGGCGGTCGAGCCGAACTTGGCGTAGATGATGACGAGGGCGACGGCCATGTCGATCAGGGTAGGGCAGATGTCGAGGGCGGCGCGCTCGAGGATGTCGTTGAGGGCCTCGCCTTGCTCGATGGCCTTCATGACCTCGGCCGAGTCCCTGTCGGAGTGGAAGTCGAGGGCCTGGCTCATGACGTGGTTGAAGGCGGCGTTGGTGACCCCTCGGTAGGAGAACTGCTGAACGGGGATCTTGGCGAGGTCGGCGATCATATAAACGCCGGAGGAACCGTGGAGGAGCTCCAGGATGAAGACGATGGAGATTTCGTAGTACGGGGTTTGGCCTGCGAAAAGCTTGTCCGTGACGAGGGCGAGGTAGCGCGGAACGAGGAAGTTCAAGAGTCGGGAGGCGATGAGGCACACGATGCAGACTAAGAGGGCAGCCTGGACCTTGTAATCGTTTCTCGGGATGAGGTAGGGGAGAATGATCTTGAAATTGGCCATGTATTCCCCCCAGGTGCCGTTCTTCCTGATCTGTGTCGAACGCGAGTTGTACCCGTCGTCATCTTCGTCGTCAGAGTCATAGTCGGCATTTGAAGAAACGCTATTGTCGTCCTTGGCCCGTTCAGAGGTTGTTGAGCCGTATGAAGGAGGAGTAGGACCCGATAGCGGGCCGTCCTCATCTTCGGCCTCCTCCGCCAGGAACGGCCGGCTCTCTTCTGTGTCGAGCTTAATTGGCTGAGAATAAGCACCAAAGCAGGGTAAACAGGTGAGGAAGAGGAGCGCCTGGAGAGTTAACCTCACGGAGCCAATGATCAACGGGGTGCGCTGTGCGGCTGCTCCAAGGGATATTGTCTTGAGTATTACGACTGGGAGACCAAGGAGGAAAGATGCAAGTGAGAGGGTCAGTAACCTTCCGATGAAGTGATGTTTCCCAAAGCATGCCAAGAACCAAGCCAAGGCAAGAAGAACCGGCGTGACTATCTCGTCCGAGTTTGGCTTGACATGATGATTTTGGGAAAGGTAGTGGGCGAGATCGAAAACATAACAAAGAGAAGTGGCGAGTATTGCAACGAGGCGGATCGTTGACTTGCGGCGGGAATTTGAGATGGGCTGGACGATTGGCTTTTTCGATTTCGAGTCCTTGTCTTCAGCTGGTTCGTAGTTGAGGAGGAAGGAGATGAAGATTGATGAGATTGCGACAGCTGAAGACGATGCTTGCAGGACTGCGCAGACTCGAGCGGCAGACATGGTGATGTGTTTAACCAAGGCTCAATGGCCTGTTTGAGGATGTCGATGCCGGGAGTGCTGTGGGTGAAGGTCGAGTCAGTTGGTCCTGGGGAAGCAGGATGGAAGTATTTGTAGGGTCTGGCCCACATAGACCGGCTCGCATTATGGGCATCTTTTTCTGAGGCATTGCCGCGATGGAGAGATTGGTCTGGATCTCGAATGTTGGTTGGAAGTTCCAAATGGGTAAGCTCTCGCACACACTTTGATGAGATCATGAAGTGATGCCATTCGCCAATCCAGGCCCTCGCCCGCATCCTGGTACGTTCTGGCCACTCACAGACGCTCCCGCGCACCGGCAGAGACGCTACTCTGCACGTTACCGTTTCCAGCTCAGTTACTCACGGTTACTCATTGATCCACCGGCTCGGCACTTTGCTTACGCTCGGGCTGTACCGTCATGAATACGCCTGACGTGCACGGCCACGTTGTTCTAGATATTAAGCCCTACGCTGCCCGCTGAAATGCTGCGTCACGTTGCTCCTCCCCGCCACATCTGTGTTGCATGCTGATATTAGTGTGGCTGCTGCCTGAGGGTCGAATTGCGATGACTCAACCGACCCATTGTCGAACGACAACCCTTTCTCATCATTGGTCGTTTCTTTGATCGATCCTCTCCTCTGACTCTTACCATTCTACCCACTCTGGATGGCAGTGTCAATTGAATTGGGCCCGGGAAGTCGGAATCCCCCGAATTGTCTGGCACAGGGCGACCCTTCGATCCATCGCATCATGCAATGCCTCATTATGTTCAAATTTTCCTACATACAGTCATATCTAACATGCCTTTTGCCTGATTGACTACATCTCATTCAACAGATGATCCAGTAAACATCAGTCTGCCTTGCCCATGTCTAGCACACACCATCTGGCAGGTCGAAGTTGTCCACCCGGTTTGATCTGTCATACACGGCGTTCGCGCCCAGTCCGCGGCCGGCGAATCCCTTCCAGATCTCACATTTGTTCTCGCCTCCGGTCAGCGCCAGGTCGGCATCCAGGATGGCATCACGGGCCTGGATGAATGTTGGGTTGCAGGGTTGACTAAAGGTAAAGGAAACAGTGGTTAGCAGACTCTCCAGCAAAAGGAGATAGAGTGAGAGAGGTGGGGAGGGAGGGAGGGAGGAAGGAAAAGAATAGAGGCACTCTATCTCTTGGCGAAGAAAGAAAACTTACATGGAGAAGGAGTCCGTGAGAATCTTGAGCCACAGGAACTTGCCATCGGTAGGCTTCCCGTCAACAAAGTCCGGCCGCGGGTTGTCATTCTTCCCATGCTTATCGATCAGGCTCCAGAGGATGTCGTAGAGCATGGTCGCCCAGACGGTGCCGACCTGGTGCACCTTCTCGAGGCCGTTGGCGTTGGAGTAGGTCCAGTTGTTGACGGCCCGGTCGGTCGAGTACATGACGAGCCTGGCGGTGCGCGGGCTGGTCACGTTGAGGGGCCAGGCGGCGAAGCCGTACTGCGCCGTGGCGCTCGTATCTTGTGGTTTGATGGCCAGGGCGGAGGCGAAGAGGTCGCTCCAGCCTTCCGCCATGCCGTCGGCTTCCCAGTCTTCGAGGCAGGCGGAGGTGGCTGCTCCGCCGGTCAAGCGTCCGGAGACTAGCAGTTCAAGAAAGTTAGCACATGATACCAGTTGTACTTGGATTAAAAGGCGGAGGATGGTTGGAGAACATACGTCCATGAGTGTACTCGTGAATAAGGAATCCCTGATCAAAAGCCCCGTCTCTATAAGGGTCGGTCTTGTCAAAGACATACATGGTGAGTGTGGGCGATCTTCCGTCAACCGTCTGCGAGAACAAGCCGTTGTTCTTGCCGGCGTAGTGCTGGATCAAGACGTCGACGGGGTCATTTGCCTTGCCGCCCTCTTCGCCATTACTCAGCTGGAAGTTGCCGGCAGCAGGAGTAAAGCCGAAAAGATAGTACAAGTCGTGCAACATGTTGGTGGTGTAGAATGCCTGCGTCACGGCAGCGTCGCGGAAGTCCACGGGATCTCCGCCGTCAGGGACGTAATCGAATACATAGGTCCCGTTGGCGTTGGGCTTGGTGTAGAGAACCTCGGCAACGGGCAGAGCGCCAGCCCTGACATTGTTGCCAAAGGTAGCGTCGTAACCGTTGTTGCGGCCGAGCCAGCCGTTGGGGGAAGCGGTGCTCTCCTCAGGGTTCTCGACGATGCTACGCTCGCCCTCCCAGGGGTCGTTGAGACCGATTGGACTGCCAAGGTGGTCAGTCAGGTTTCTTGACATCTACACAAACGTCCCATAGGGCATCTACTTACTAGACTTCATATGTAGCCGCAGACACATGGTCAGATACACCGACGACCTCGGCCGCATTGACATCGACATATGAGGAGTAGGAGGTCTCCTGAGTCACCGTGTCGACCTTCCATGACAGCGAGAGGTTTCCGTCCGGCTTGATCAGGTACACCAGCTTGCTCTCGGGGTTTTGGCTGGCACCCGAGACGCCTTGGATGACGTAGACATCGGAGCTCTCTTCCAGGGCGGCGTCATTTGTCTCGATGGACAGGCCAAGAAGCTCAGAGGCGATGTTCAAAGCCTTGATGGAATCAATTGGCAAAGAACTAGTAGAAGCAGGAGCTTCGGCCGGCAAATCGCCTGTGAAGAAGGAGTTGCCGTAAGAGAAGACGTTTCCGTTCTTATCAATCTGGATGCAGCGTAATATCAATGTCAGTCTCAGTGTGTCTCGATCTTTACTACTCCTGACTTCTGTAGGTCGTTGATTCACTTACGTTGACGTTGAATATGGCATTGTCAATATCAACCCCATGAGCAGTCTGACGGAAGTTGACATGCCCAATTCCGTTGGTACCGACATAGTGATCATCGATGACTCGGAACTCAGCGTCAGGTGCTACGGTTTTGACCAGCTCAGTAGCAACATCAACATAGTCACCTCCTCGCTTGGCAAGCTTGAGGGAGACGGCAGCAGCCTCAGATGACTTGGTGTACTGGGTCGACGACTTGAGGCGGAACTTTTCACGGTCGAACGCATTGACGGTGGCCGCAGCCCCGACAAGGGAGAGTGCCAGATCGAGACGCATATTTGCAACTGGTACAACACAAATGCAATTATGTGTACACGACTGATTGACACAACGGGAACATCTTACTCGGCCGATTCAAATGCTTTATAAACACTTTCATTTAGGACTGGAGCCATCCTGGTCGTGGCCCTGGTTCCGAATCTCACTCTATGGCAACCAGAGCTAAGCCTTCGTTTCATGTCCGCGCGCGCCGAGGAGGAATCGCCACCACCGGCACTCAAGCTGCGGAGGGCTGTCAAAATCCCATCTGACACGCCTTGCCCTGGGTCGGAGAAAAGCGAAAGGATCGTCTATGCAGGGTGAGGGCGCAACCCGGCCAATCAAAGCCCTGTTTCCCCTTATAACTTCCTCTTATGGATGCAGGGAACGAGAATGATTTTAACATAGGTATAAGCGTTTTAACCATAGCGGGCTCTTATTGCCTCCGGTCCTCACCTTAAGTTTGAGGCCTTGTCAGACAGGGATTGACCTGCTTGAGGGGCTCCGCAAACCTGACTGAAAGACTTCCGCCACATCCCTTGATTCCCGGATTTCAGAATTAATAAGTGATTACAGATGCTCTGAACCTGGAGACTGCACGCGCCAGTGCGGCCCGGGTGGCCTCCGCCGCCAGAGCTTGATCGATTTATCAATCTGGAAGCTGAAGTACAGTCAGCAACATCGCTATTACAGCATAATTGAGGAAGGTCAACTCGAATGCAATACAAGGTTTAAATGGCATGGCATATGGTTGTGTTATTCCCAAGCCGATTATCCGAGCCAGAGATCAAAGATCCTGGCGCAACCCAGCTGGAGACAAAGAACTTAGAAATCAGAAAGTCAACAGCAACTCTAAGTTACACCCTAGCATAAAGCAACAGGGCTCGGCGATGGCTTTTGAAAATACCCGAACTTATTGGTCCTTTCTATCTGACTAGCCTATGAAAGACGAGCGCGTGTAGCAGGTTGAGGCAACACCAAATCGTGCGATTCTTGCGTCTCATCCCAGCCAAAGTGGATGTCAAAATGGCGGCCGCCGGTGCTGGGGTTATTCGGTATGTGGAACAAATTCTCCGTCCCTTTTAACTGTTGCCTCTTCCGGCAGATCACCCCCGGTGGGAAAGTCTGGCTCAACCACGACATTCTTTGTTATTCTAGTTTCTCTTATCATCAGAACTAAAGTAACCAATGCTGCATGTAGCAACAGGCGGGAACACTTGCCGAATAGTACCTTGGTAAACGAAGCGTGATATCCAAGCGCAACCTCCTCGTGGTCATGAGTGAACAAATCCGTATTCCATCTTCATCCGGGGCAAGACTCTACACGATGCTAACCATGAATGTACTTCCATTCATCCCAAAGTAGTCACATAGCTTCGTATCTAAATCAATATATGTCTGGGCCTGCGAAATACAAATGAACTTGCACTCGTCTCCAGGGTCACCAGTCACCATTGACCACAAGTCTTCACCCGTGCGCCCAGTCGAAGCTGAAATCACATCCATGGTATCCATAATTCTATCCACGTTTGAATATAACGTCAAGGCTTGGCGAACCTCGTGTATTCTGAAGCAAATATCAATCCATTGCTGAGATTGCGAGGAGTTGGTAATTTGCTTGTACTTGGACTGGGACACAATGGTCGACCTCCATTCATCTCCAGAATCGCGAACGCGATATCGAAAACGTGCCTCAGACCCATTGAGCTTTCCGCGCTCCTTGAAATAGGTTTCGGCCACACCCCCCTGACTTGTTGAAAAGGTGATTTGGAGAAAGCTTCCCCTAGCGAATGTTTTGTACTCTGGAGGAACACAAGCAAGATATGCGTCGACGAAAGCGTCAGGGTCCCCAGGGGGGTTCAACCTTTCTGAGTGCAACACCTGGATCAAGGGCAGGATCTGACGATTTGTCTCTACCCCGGCGAACAGCCCCTTCATCTCAAGGCTAGTGAGTTCAAGGCCCTTTTGAACATATAATGGGTAGTCCAACCTCTCTTGTAGGTCTTGGAGGATGTCGTACACGCTGTACTGTAGATCTTTCAGCGCTACATGCAAGAAGCCCCTTGCGTTTATACTAACATCTGTCTGAATCTGGACAAAGGGGCATGCGGAGAGGAAATTGTACGATTCCCTGTCTTCTGAATCGGTGTTTCTCCTCAAGAGAATATATGTCGGTAGTGTGTAGTAACCGGGGTGGCTCAGTATGAACAGCTCGTCTTTGCCATCTCCAATGACCATCCTATCAATTCGGTATTCCGAGAGAATGAACACGGTAGCCAGCGGCTTTCTCACTGCGAAAATCTGATAGACACCGATGCGGCCAACTCGCTTCAGCTTCCCCGGCACCGTCATGTAATGTGTCAAATTCATAGACAGTGCCCCCGTCGAGGCGTCTATGTGCGCGCCCTTGTGCCATGGTCTCAGCGTCGCGGCATGAGTTGAGGCCGGCCCCCAGCATTCGATTATAGAAACCAAGTCACTGCTCCTGGGTTTTATATACCAATCCGATTCGGCACCTCTATTATCACGGACGCCCTCTTGGATGATATCACGAATTTCCGCCTCCACCTGCTCGCTGGTCAGTTCTGGCCCGTCAAAGAGGGCCCGCCAGGTTGTTCGCGATGTCCAATCTGGAGCACAGGTGGGATAACATGCTTTCCACCTTGACAGGTTACTCGACGCATGGTAGAGAATATTAACATGTCCCAGATTCAAGAGACAGTGAGCAAAGAGACCTATATAGACGTGTTGGGATGATAGTGAGTAGTCCGCATGAAGCCCAGCACCCTCTACTTGTGAGGTATCGCCTTCTGCACTTGGGTTTGACATGTCAGGCATTATACTCAGAAGCCCAAATAGACGATCGCGAGGATCCGTAGCGCGGCAGTGAGAGGTTAGCAGTAGTAAATTCCTTAGGGTGCTTATGCTCGCGGCACCTTGTGAAATATATTGCACCCACGCTGCATCTGTCCGCTCCCAACTCCACTCCGGCAAGTTGATGAAGTAGTTAGAAGTGGTAGGGTCCGTCCAGAAGTCAACGTCTCCAACCCGTATGACGGCGCGTTGCGACAGGAGCAGCTCCTGGATAACCCATATGCGGGAGAAATATCGTCTTCCCAGAAGAGCTTTCAAATTCTTGGGAGACTCTACATACGATCGGCGCCCTGAGCTATCAGTCGGCTGAGGAGCAGGGAAATTTGGTGTAATGGTGTCGTCCACGATCTCGTGAAGCCTGCGACGTCGTGGGTGCTTGCCATATAGCGGCATAGCAATATCTGGCCCCAGGTAGATAATGACTCGGTTGCCGGAAGAATAAATACGACTCATGTTTGCTACCTGGATATTGCGCTCCTGGATATCGGCCTGGTTGATACAAATGGCATCAACCCACACAATGCGGTTGCCATACCAAGGCCGTACGAACCGAAGCATTTCCCAGCAGTTCTTGGTCTGTAGCATGACGTCCCAGAATGGACCAAAGTAAACAGGCTTGCAAGGCGTGCTGTCGCCATCTTCTCCGGCCCAGGTGTACGAAACGGGTTCATACTCGGTGCAGTCGTCTAGTTTGTAGTCGCAAAGGTTGAGATGCAAAGGACTGTCGAGGCTTTCGGCGGAGTCGAGCCAAACCAGGCGGAACTCGTCCGATCCGAGAGTTGATTTGTATATTGTATCTTCTGCTGTTTGTTCGTTTGCATCATCTTGTGAATCGAAAACCGGTGGAGCATCCTCTGATTCCGGGTCTGGCTTAAGGCTTGATCGAACGTACGGCACCGAGCGAGGCCACCAAAGATCCAAGTCTCCCAAACGTTTATCAGGAGGGATAGACAGGGAGGAGGAGCTTGGGCCTCTACTTCTCTCCAACTCAGCTATTTGTGGCTCTTTGCCGCATGCATGACAGCGAGGCGTTTGATCAGCTGACACTCTGACATCTGGGTATCTGCAGGCCACATCGTGCCAGCGCTGCATGGCGGCTAGAGTGTTGCAAACCAACGAGGCTATTTCTCTGAATAGGTAGCCAGTCACTCAATCATTTATGACAAAGTTGTGATCATGGCGAGAGAACCCGTCCAAGTTGCCACATCCTTGCCTGTCAAGATTTACGCCATAGATGATAGTGGCAGTGTTAGAATACCTACTCGTGTGGCTCTGTTTCCAAGGTGCCTGTAAGGCGTCCAACCAGCTCTGATTTCCTCTCCACTGCTCTGTAAAACGCCTACTTTGGCAACGGCAAGGCTGTTTAGGCTGTTTTATGCCCACTAGTTTGGTCCACTCGAAGGAATGCCATCCCTGTCCTCGATGTGACTTCTACGACGCAAGTGGTTGACATCGAGATTGAGACACCCAAACATTAAGCTGCTTCTTTCAAGGTCTACGACCAGTATGATCAGGTTATTAAGTACTAATAATACATACCTAAGGACAGTACGGCAATGGGTTTGTTAAGGAGTACAGGATGTTGAATTTTTGAGCAGAATACTAAGGGGAGCCTCCTTATAATTCGAAATATGGCCATTCTGATAATGGTTGAATTTCACCATTGGCAATACCAACTCATGCCAATCGTATATAAGTGAGTGACATGGCTTACTATAAGATGTTTCATGGCATCTGCCTTGTCAAGGTTAAGGCAATAACAAACATAATTTTTCGTATTCTGCCGCACAATTTAATTTACATATGATGAAACCTTAGACGCCATACTTGGTCTGCTGCCTATCCGCCGCAGTAGCAATTCCATGTCCACTCCCATAGGCTGCCAGCCTAGAATGCGTCCCCTTCTGCGGCGCACCGTTGGTCCTCGAGCCAAACGAGGTCTTGTTCACACTGCCCCCGTTCACACTACCCCCATTCGTCTGCTTCGCCCCGGATCCTCGCGGCATCCCGTTATGCGAGCCGTTGAACTGGAGGTCGGCAATGCCATCATACCCCTTGATCCCGAGCTCCTTCTCCAGCCGCTCCGCAATCTCCGGGTCCACCTCGCGGAAGATGGCGATCTGCCGCTTGATGATCTCCTCCTTCTTGCAGAGCGACAGCTTCCCTGACGTGTTGCTGATGAATCTATCCCGGGCTGGCTGGTCAAACACCTTCTGCCACAGCGCCCGCGGGGCATTGAAGTCCTCTGGCCGGATCTCGGTCAGAAAGGTCATTACCTCGCCCGCGAAGTGCCCGTGCGTCCTGTCCGCGTTGACGGCGCGCGGCGGGAGACTGATAGGGTCGATGGAGGAGAGATAGTTGGGGCGGGCGCCCTGGTTGTAGAAGGCCATGGGCCCGTCGCGCTGGAAATTGCCAAAGGGGCACATGGTCCTGGCCGCGTTGACGGGGAGCTGGTGGTAGTTCGCCCCGAGGCGGTGGCGGTGCGTGTCCGGGTAGGAGAAGAGGCGTGACTGGAGGACAGGGTCGGCGGACGGCTCGATGCCGGGGACCAGGTGGGACGGGCTGAATGCCACCTGCTCGACCTCGGCGAAGTAGTTTACAGCGTTCTCATTGAGTGTGAACTCGCCGATCTTGCGGCGGGGGAACTGGCCTTGGGGCCAGATGTGGGTGAGGTCCAGGACGTTGATCTTTTGGGTCTCCCAGAGATCTTCGGCCTCTTGGGGGGTCATGGTTTGGATCTCGACGGACCACTTGGGGTAGTCACCTCTCTCGATGGCCTCGTATAGGTCTTTCTGGGAGTAGTCGGGTGAGTAATTGGCCGAGTCCTCCTGTGTGATGAATTTGGTGCCCTGCAATGATTTCAGATGGATCTGGCAATACACCCATTCGCCGTCTTTGTTGACAAGCTTCATAGAATGACCAGAGTATCCGTGCATAAAGCGGTATCCATCCGGAATACCTCGATCACCCATCAGGATCATAACCTGGTGGATCGACTCAGGGTTCTGTGAGAGGTAGTCCCAGAACAAGGTGGCATCATCAGCATGTGTAAGATGAGTCGAGGGGTGCCGCTTCTGTGTGTGAATGAAATGGGGGAACTTGGCTGGATCTCTGAGGAAGAAGACGGGCGTGTTGTTGGCGACGAGGTCCCAATTACCCTCCTCGGTTCTGAACTTGACAGAGAATCCACGCGGGTCACGAGCGAGATCGTGGGATCCTGTTTCTCCTCCCACGGTAGAGAATCTAACAGTGACGGGACACTTCTTTCCCTTTTCAGAAAAGAGGTTGGCCATTGTCAGGTTGGGGATGGGATCTGTGCACTCAAATACACCGTGGGCACCGCTTCCGTTGGCGTGAACTACACGCTCGGGAATTCGCTCACGGTCGAAATGAGAAATCAAGTCAACCAGATGGAAGTCTTGAAGCAGAAGAGGCCCGTTCTCCCCAGCGCGCTGCGACTCGTATGGGTTTGGCACGGCGAGTCCATTGCTGGCGCTGTAGTAGACGTCTGCAGACGACCTACTGCGATCTTTCTCAAGTGAGGCGTGTTGTTCGGCCAATTGAGCCTTGAAAGAGTAGTCCTGCGAAGCCATTTTCTAAGAATTCCTTAAATCGAATCTTGGATTACTTAGAATAAATTTGTTGACGAGATATCGGGTCGCTCAACGCCGTACTCAGCGAGGGAGGTCGGTATATATCTAGGAATACACCCATCGAGATTCGGTCCTTTTGCCACATGCCATCTACCGGCATCAGACCGAAATCACACCATCATCCATTTCTGCTATCGAAATCGCGGTTCTGCAAAGTGTATTTGGAGGCCGCAGGTTGATCTGATAGGCGAAGTCCGTCTTGTTCCCGATCGGGACGGATCATGACGCGATCAATGACGCTTAGAACACCGTCTTCTAGGTCTGAGTTTATCCCGACCTCGCGAATTCAATCATCTACGCAGATTAAATGCATTCAAATAGCACACTAGCGTGATTTGGAATACTTGCTGACCTTTCCGTCGTCGATGGTTCGCAGATGCTCCGGGGGAAAAGATCCGGATGCTGATCTTGCCCACTAATAATCAACCACGTTGATGAATATCAAACTTTGGTTCCTGACAATTGCCGAGGCTTGTGTTCATTTTATTCCTAAAATTCCATACCTTCTTCGTAGTAGCTGCTATCGCCTGTTTTTATTGGTTGTAGTGGGAAACTGGGTCAAGTTGAGAAGCAACGAGGGAGTGACACCTTTGCAGCTATTGTTCGTGAGATCCCGTGAGATCTATCCCGCCTGTCAATCTTTCACAGGTTTTATTGTACTTGAATATCATAACGTTCATAATTCAGTATATGCTCGCTCCTTTTGTCACCAATAAGAAATGCATGACCATAACAGCGAACCCAGCCGGTATATCTCGAGAAACGCCGTCACGGAAACTCCTCCCGCATCTGATTGATGGCATCGATCATCTCTGCCCCCGAGGAGAAGCCAGAGTATCCCTGGCCCGCCCCGTAACTCACGCCAATGGACAATGCGCCCCAAATCCACCTGTTTCCCTCTTCATCCGGCAGCCAGTGCGGCCCTCCCGACTGCCCACCAACCGCATCCGTATCTGTATAGAACGGCCCCGTCCCATCACAGTCAAAGGTCCTGTCCCCAAACACGGTGATATGCGTCATGAGATTCGGCTGTGACCCGCCGTCCTTGTCCCCCGGGTATCCCATGTGGTAGAACACAGGCATGTCAAAGTATTCCTTCTGGGGAGTCCGCACCCCAAACCACCCTACATTGTCCCCCAGCGAGTCGTCCAGTACCAGCACCGCCCAGTCAAACTTGGTCCCGCACCCATCCCGATCATTGCTCACGGGCTGGCTGGCTAACGCTACCTTGATGTTGGCCCCGCCCGCCCGCTCGACGCCCTCGTCGAAGCTGGGCGCGAAGCGACCCGTGAGCTTGTCCCCGGACTTGGGGAGGCAGTGCCTCGCCGTCAGCACGTGGCGGGGGCCGACGAGGGCGCCGGAGCAGATGACGCCGGAGCTCCAGGAGATGCGGCCGACGGCGCGGTAGGGGAATACCTGGAGGTTCCAGTGGTACCGGTTGTCGGTGCCGAAGATGAAGCGCTTGAGGACGAACTTGTCCTTGGCCGGCGTGTTGGGCTGGACGACGGCGCTGGCGTCGGAGGAGAAGCTGGACCGGGGGAGCAGTCGGATCTCGGGGGGCTGGGCGTTGATCCAGCTGGACTGTATCGTCGAGACGCTGCCGTCGTCGTCGCCGGTGGTGTTCGAGATGGAAGAGATGGCAACCTTGGCCTTTCGATCTAATATCGAGTTGTCGAAGCCGTGGAAGTCTCCGTTGCTGGGGAGCAGCGGGGGCCGTGGTGCTATGAGTACAGGACCAGCCTGTGTAACAGGAAGTAAAGTCGACAGCACCGTGACTAGCACGGTACTGGAGAAACGCATCGTTGGATATCGAGTGAACCTGGTTTTTTTTTTTTTTCGGTGATTCCTCAGTGGTAACAGAGAACGGTTTCACGCGAGATAAGAAAGCCCAGCTTCCTGGAGAAGAATAATAAATAATGAATGAATGGTGAATGAATGAATGAGTGAAAAGAAAGGCACATCAATGCCACAGGACAATGCAAAGAACGGGGACAGGGAGAAAGAGAGAAGTCGAAACGCTTTGTCAACACAAACGATGCCTTGGTGAGGCAGCGACGGGCCCTCCCGAGTATTAATACACAATGCAACCTTCTGCTGGGATGACCGAGAGCAGACTGCCGACGACACAAGCACCGGGCAGGGCCTCTGCCAGGTCAGATACGCGACCTGTCGCCTGCCAAGCGTGGACCCGTCCTGATGCTCTGAGGCTTGAATGGTCGCAAGTGTCTTGGTTCCATCATGCGGGCACATCCCTGAGGCAGCATTGATTGGCGAAGCGTCAGTCTTGTCCAGGTCCCCGGACGAGCATCATGAAACAGACGGGCTGGAATCAATGGGCGAGAACGCTCGTGGGCAGGCGCTTAAAACATGCCACAGCTTGGCTGGCCGCGACACACGCAGCCTGGCGGCTAGAACAGTGCGACCGAGTCTGCCTCAAGC